TAATAATAGTATCTACCTCATAGGGTTGTTATGAGGATTAAATTACTTAATACATAAACAAGATGAAAACAGTGCCAGGTACATAGTAAGTGCTCAATAAATAATTAGCTATGTTATCAGGATAAAATTCTTAGATATGAAGTTAATTAGGATATTTTTGATCAATGTATCTTTAGGAATGTTCCTATGCATTATTTTGTGTTACAAGACAAAAACTCCACCGTTAATTACCAAAAAGGTACAATGAGATCGTATACTTTTAAAATTTCTTTCATAAAGACATAAACATTACAAGAAAATATTTCTGTATGCCTTATGGATATAATTTGCATTGTATTCTTTATCTCAAAGAAAGCAGTTTAAATAACAGCTAGTGTGCAGGTGAACAGAGTTGTTGCTCTTCTTTTTTGAGGAAAAAAACTTAGATTTGTCCTAAATTGTATATTAGCATTTAAAAATAGACGCTTCTATTCTGTCAGGTTGAAACATCTGAAATTGCCAGTATTCAGCTACAAAAATGGCAGTTTCAGATGCTTCAAACTATTAATTTATGTAGTCACTTGCCTCTGTCACTTCCGTTTTATTTTACATACTCCTTTTCAGTTTGGCCATGGACCTTTATCTCCTTGAGTGTAGTATTCTTACTAATTAATAAACCTGCCACTGGTTTTAGGCTTGATGCTGGGGCTGGCAGAGGCAAGTCCCATGTGACAGACACCAGTAGGGCTGGGCTTATGTGGGAGCCCACAGGGTTGCCATCTCACCAACGTTGGTCCCCAACATCTTGGCAATGAGCGTGTCGAAGGAATGACCTTCAAGAAAATTATGGTAATTTTTCATACCTTGAATCGTGGTTTAATTTGCTTTGAATGCTTTTTGCTTTTTATCATTTCAGGGCTGAAATTCTGATCAGTCAATGATTCACAAGCTTGCTGTTCTGTTTTCAAATATTATGTATTTCCAGATGTTATTTATTGCCTAAGATGTATCTTAAACCAATACGTTTCATTAGGACGGTCAAATGGGAAAATATATATTCTACCTCGATCTACCTTATTAAGAAATATTACCGAAATCAATAAGAAGAGTATTGCTGTTTCTGAAACTGAAGTATCTAACTTTAAGGGGGAAAAAAAGGCATTTAATTTTTCAGGGCATAAAACAAAAGTGAAGACATATTCATCATGTTTATAAACATTAACCCTAATTGAGATCAATTTTAAGAATACTGAGAAGAGTCTTAAGGATCTTACTTTCAAAATCACTTTTTATAGATCAATAACTGTTGCTTTGGTTTAGTGGAGTTCAGGGAATAGCTTTATTAATGTCTACAAACTTGTTTTAGTTGGCCTTGAAATCATGGCCATTAATTCTCATTTTAAAAAAAATGTCACCAAGCTTTGGGTGATATTAGAAAACAAATAAAAAATTATTACTACCACCATTTAAAAGCTCTATCATTATCCAAGATTATAGACTTTTCTAATTGTAAATGCTAGCAGTGGCAACTTTGGTAGTTTTCGTCAGTGACGATTGAACGTTTGCATTAAATAATTGGAGCTTCTCAGAGAATAAGGTTTTTAAGAGAGGACTTTGTTAGCAGTT